TTTATTTAACCAGGTGAGTCCCATTGAGATTGACATCTCTTTTACAAGGGAGCCCTGGCCAAGAGGGCAGCAAGTAGGTTTACAACAATACAACACACTTTCTTTCTAAGTGAAAGCGTTTTCCAAATACATTCAGCCAATCACGTCATGCCAACTGTGCAGACAGTCTTTCTGAAGTAAACTGAAGGAAGTAGTCTGTCACCAAGAGTCACCCAGCAGTGCAGATCAGCTCTGTTTCTGTGACAGTTTTTTTTCTCTCTCTAACTGTTTTAATGATTGTTTTTCTTTTGGCCAAACAGTTTCTCCTATTTGTATAATTTGTTTCATTCCAACCGATATACAAAATGATTAGTTTTGTAATAATGATCTGATGGTGTTTGTTGACTTTTTTGACCATCAGTGTAGCCGTGTGCAACTGAAAGCTTTTGCCAGATACATACGATCAATCACATTGCACCAGCTATGCAAACAGTCTCTCTGAAATATGTGAGAAAAAGCAGGTGGTCACCAAGTGTTGCCTTTACATTGTTGATCCTACCCAGCAGTGCAGATCAGCTCTGTTTCTGTGACTCTCACACTGACACCGTGTTGATTTTCTTATTTGCTCTGGCTCTGGATCCTGTGTCTCCTCAGGATGACCATGAGGTGAAGCTACGGCTCAGCAGCTGTCACATGTTCTGGTTCAACTTCAGCAGCCGTAGGTGCAGGTGTGTCTCCACAAGCATGGCTTTGACTGAACCAACTCCAACATATTTATTATGAATTATTTTGCACTGGAAGTTTTCAGTTCATTTCATATTTTCAGATTGTGTGACATAGCTGTAAGCAAACTTCATAACTTCATAATTCTTCCTGTATGGTACGATAAAAGTGTAATTCCACAGAAAAACAAACAAAGCCCCAATTAAACGTGTCAGAGTTCAACCACTGTTAATGAATAGAAATATGACTTCTCTGAAAGTTCCTTGTCTTCCTTCCAGAGTCCTGCTTGATGTTGAGTCAACACACGTGGAAGGTGAAGGTGAGGAGAGGAATATCCATTAGTTGCAGTTTGTAACTTCACCACTAGATGCCACTAAATCCTTCACACTGGTCCTTTAAGGCCTGTTTGAATAAGAAAATAAAAACACAAAAATAACCATACAAGAGAAAACACACTGAAGGGTTCTTGCTGTTGCAATATTTCTGATGTGTAAATACGTGGCCTTTTTCGGTATCTTTTGGAAACATATATTTCAAAAAGTCAGCCACGAAGCAACACAACTCAGACAGCTGAGGTCAAATGTATCCTCTAAAGCTGTATTTTCTGATGTCAAATCTTAGTACAACTGAATGAATTATGGGTTTTTATGTTACATCTGCAGACAAGCTGATGCTCTTTTTATTGGTACATGTTCTGATACTGTGTAGATGTCTACGGCTGAAAGTTTCTACCAATCAGATGACACCAACAGTGAACACCCTCTATGAAGGATATAAAAGAAAGCAGCCTGTCGTGTATCTCTGCAGGATTCTTGCAAACATCCAGCTGTGCCGATCATCTCCAGCAAGACACTGACGTCTTCTCATACTTTGAGACTTCAAACTCCAACATGATCGTGCTCCTGTTGTTGTTCGGCCTGGCTCTGGGTGCTGTGGTTCCTCCAAATGAGCAGAGATTGGTGTTAGAGCGAGGCACCTGTCCCATGTTCTGGTACAGCTACAACGGCCGCTGCTACAAGTATGTCGCCTCACGTTTGACCTGGGCTGATGCAGAGCTCCACTGTTTGTCAGAGGGAGCCAACCTGGTGTCTATCCACAGTCTGCAGGAGCACAATTTTGTCAATTCCCTGATCGAGAACTTTGATCCTGCTCGTGCATACACCTGGATCGGACTCAGTGACATCCACAAAGAAGGCAGCTGGATGTGGTCTGATGGGTTGCAAGACAAGTTTGTCTATTTTGCGACTGGAAAACCAGATAATGAAGCAGGACAGGAACATTGTGCACATACCAGCTGGGGCCCACATTTTCAGTGGAGTGACGCTCCTTGTTCAGTGACATATGCTTTTGTTTGTGCAACTCGCAAATGTTTTCCTTAGCAAGTGAGAAAACTTTTCTGATTGAACTCATTGACATGACTTGTGTTTGTGCTAATGAGTGAAACCTGCAAAATAAAGATACAAATATTCACAACTCATTTTATGAACATTCATTTCTAAAATTTTTGGGCAGTAAAACGAGTAACTTCAATGCTGTGTTGGAGGAAATGGCTTTTGAATTATCTGAAAAAAGGTTTTTTTTTCCTCATTGAACCACATAGAAATGCACAGATTCAGAAGAAACAATAGTGTTCATCCAACGTATGCTTTCTCAAGTGTCACTTTACATAACTACAAAATGAGTTATTTTATGACAATAAATGTGATCAGCAGCAGCAGGTCAATGTCTTCTATTATTAAACTTGAGCTCATATCAGATATGACACTCATTGGATCTGCTGAAATATAGAACCAGTGAATTCTAGCAACAGCTTAGAACAGAAACCTAAGGGTTGTTGATTTAAAAACGAGTAGCTGCCTCTTTCCAAACTCTGCTGATTCTGTCTGGCATGAACTGTGACATGAGATGCTAAGCGCTCCCTGCCATGTGCTGTGTGTGCATGTGGAGGGGAGGTACGGTCAGTGGTTGTTTAGACCTGGGGTGCAGCGATATGGTTTCCTGGTGCTGCTTAACCCCTATCATTTTGCAGTCATCCTGATGAATCTTTGAACCAGCAGGCTTTTGACAATTGAACAACCGAGCTGGATGAAGCAGAAACGAAAGAAGTGAGACACACAGGCTTGGCGTGATGCAGGTGCTGTGTAACGATCAGTCTGGCAGAAAGCTTAATGAGTGGAAATTGATAACAGACATTAAGTAGCATTATTTTCCTGCATACAAGGTCAAAGATTTTTTTTTCCTCCTTCCAGTGAAATACTAAACCCCCTATTCATTGCCCTACAATTAAAGTCAAACATTCTGAACTAACATCTGGTATTTTGTGAAATGGTGTAACATAGCATATAAGTGTTTTAAATTGCAAAGTAATACATTTAGCTCCCCCTCGCTGATTATGTGTTAATTCATTATAAATAAAAATGAATACTATCATGGTCTTTTGAGGGCTTTTACTTTGAAATGTAATAGATTTAGTTTTAATCTGAGCTGTAACAGATATTTTACATGTTGATATTTCTACTTTTGCATGTTTAAAGATGTGAATGCGTCTTCGTCTAACAGGTCCAAGTATGAGTAAGCATCTATGAAGCCTCATCTGGTATGTGGCGCTATCCAGTGGCAGCAGCTGGAAAACAAATATTACAATCAGTTACACTTCCTTCACATTGTAGGAATATTTATTTATTTGCTGCTTATGATTTTTGGCTTGAACTAAAAACACTGTTCCATTGGTAGGACTCTTCCTATCACTTACTTTCCACCACTGAATATCAGCCAGTGGAACAAAAAACAAAGTATTTACCTGTGAAATGTCATGGAGTAAATAATTGGAGTATGAAATAAACATTTACGCAAAGTACGAGTACCTCAACCTGTAATCAACTCCTGTAATTTAGTGAATGTACCACTGCTTGTTCACTCCTAAACTACATACTTACTTGTAAGCATCAGACCCTTTTACTCCTCCCCATTGTGTAGGAATGACAGCTGAAACATGGGACACTTAAATCGGAATTATACCATCAATATCAGTTGCGATATTACTTTCCTTTATAGTTTGTGCAATACCAGTTTCAGTAACGTGTAATATTTGATTTTTGTGTGCAATATTCATTTTCATGCACATGTGCAGCATTTCTGTTTTCTGGTGCAATATTTTGACTTCATGTATTTTGATTCCATGTGAATTATTTCATTATCATGTATGATGTTACTTAACTACCTCAGAATCATTTTCTAGTTTTCTGGTTATCGTACTTGTATCTTATTGCTTTTCTACTGGGCACTGCAATTTAAAATGTTATGTAATTTTGAGCAATACCTGGCAAAAGAGTTTTGTTGTGGATTAAGCAAGAAAAAAAAAGTTACAGCTATCATTAAAATCATGACATTGCTTTTGAATTGTGGTTTAACAGAAATATTTTTTTTAAATGAACAATAAAACAAACAAACAAACAAACAAAACAAGCAAACAAGCATGATGGGACCCGCAAACTAATATTTTGTTGAACAACCCTTTGAGCCAATCACTGCAATCAAGTGTTTTCTGTAACGCTCAATCAGACTTCTACACCTGTTGACAGGTATTTTGATTTTGGCCCACTGCTCATCAGCAAAGTGTTCTAATTAGACAGTTTTTTTTGTTTTTTTTTAATGATTATTTTCAACCACAATTCAAAAGCAACCTCTTATATCACTAAATTATAATTTAGCAAATATTTATTTATTATTACTTTTTTCTGTTTTCAGTTATTTGAGTGACTTTTGTGAATTTTGCCTTTTCGTTAATGGAAGGGTATGAATACATTTGAGGACGACTGTATATCACAGAGACCTTCATGCCTAGGGTCTCAGGCCACGCCCACATACAAAGAACATGCCCATATGTCGTTTTCGCGGGAAAGCTCGGACCGCACCATTGTGAGCACAGGGGGAGAAGCAGAAGGAAGACGCTTCTTAATCAGAATCAGACACGCCTCCACCTTATCTGCAAGCGAGTGACAGAGTTTTTTAATCTAAAAATCCTTTTTGTAGTCTCGGAATCACAGATACTTGACGTGACTTTGTATTTAGCCATCAGTCCACCAACTACAACACCCCTACTTTTGTGTTCACCGGGCTTCTCTAGCGGTTAACTTTTAAATCCACCTCTGTGCTCGTTGTGGTTCATGCTACGAGATAAATCTACATGTTCGACGGAAAACGGACAAAAATGACCCTCGCGTCAAAGGTAAGAAATGCGTGGAAATGTGTTTTTCCTTCCCCTGTCCGATTTTATGGTGAAAAAAGTCATACTGTGTCAAAATGAACAGCTGTCTTGGTCGGCTTGGTCGACCTGAATCTGTACAAATACGCTGTATTTTCTGAATAAAGTGACTTTTGGAGGCGGTTTTAAGCTAGTTCAAACCTGTATTCTGCCTTTTATTTTGACCTGGTTACCCAGCGTCATAAGCTTCACTGTACAGACACGTTTTGGTTTAATGCCAAAACATTAAGCTCAAAGTCCAACAGTGTGGCTTCAGTGTTTTGTCCAAGAGCTTGATGGGTAAAGTCTGTGCGCTTTTCCTCTGTAAGGTCAGAGGTCAGCACCCCTATAGCTGGAGGGGATGTTTCAGCACATCAACTGCATGAATCAGACACAACATACCTCAGTTTTACCCGTTTGGATATTATATCCTCACATATAGTTGTCAAAAACTGAGAAATAGTCTGAAAAGTGTGGTCTTGTTCCCACATAAAGGCATGTCAACAAAAATAAACTTACCACTGGGTTATTTAATATGATATGACGTATCACAGTTTTGTGATAATTGCTTATAAAGGTCACTTTGAACCAATGCAATGCTTATAAAGTCTGCTAGAATAGGTTTATGTTAGTTCTTTTCTTGATGTCAAATTCACTGCTGTACAATCTGGTTTAGTACAGTGGATTTATTAGGGCACCTGTTTAACAAAGTTCACACAACTGGCCTTGATGTGGATCATTTTGTTTGAATTTAATCACAGCAGTTAAATAATTACAGCATCTCCTTAAACACATTCAACGGTTTTATAATATGATGTATTGAAATAGAAAAAAAACACTTAAATTTGCGCTAAATGGCTCAAAATGTTTATTTTTGGAGTCAGCATTATTTTGTAAGCAGTATATGTAAAGTCAAGAGATAATCCAAGCTAAATGATCACCCAACAATGCCTGAAAGAAGATAATTATAAAGACAAATATTGTGGTGTTTAATTAAGAGAGATGCTGTGAGAGAACCATTGATGACTGGCTTGGAATCAGCAAAACGTACAACCTGAAGAAGAAAACACAATATGGCTTCACCAAGAACTGCGAAGGATGAGGCAGAAAACAGTGGTGTAAGGCTCTACATCTGTGGTAGTCATTTAAATACGACAAACAATTCCCACATCCCTGAAAATCTGTATGTGATTACATTCTTTACAATATATGAGAAGTGCCACAATAAAACTTAGGTCAGAAAAAAATGTAAAGGGAAAAAAAAAAAGATTATTTAAGGTTCATTTATCTGCTACACAAAATGCAGGGGGGTCTGTGGGACCCCCCCAAAAAATGAGGAAGTCAAGTTAATATCAACAAAACACAGGAGTTAAGTGTCTGTTCCTTTTCCGCTTCACCTTGTCATTGGTTTTAAATGTACTGCCATGTTTCAGAAGTGCTGCGCTGATAAGGATGTCCTGGGGTTTAGTTTGGTAAACTCAAGAAGGGAAGTTAACTTCAGCGACAACCAGCCTCAGTTCTGGCAATTCTGGCAAGCTGTAGTGGTGACATAGCTGAGCAAGATTTATTGTTCTCACAATTTTCTGTTAGTGGTGAAGGATGTCCACTGATGGAATGGGGCTCCCTCTGGTGTGACATGTACAAACGGATCAAACTAATGATCATGTAGATGAACTCAGGCAGTCCGACCAATAAGTGACCCATAGTGCAGAGCTTGTCACCTGTCACTTTGATATCTGGAGCGTCTTGCTGTCGTGCAAGGCTGTGAATGTGCATTCTTAAGAAAAACGATGCATCCACACTGGTAATAACCTCTAAATGTTCAATTGGTTGAATTCATGCTTCTACTTTTGGGTTGTGATAGTAACACAGGACTACATGTATTCTATTTTACCAAACCAACATTAATTTGATGCTCAATATTTCTGCCAACAGGCTCTCCGTTTCAAATCCAAGTTTATAACCGCCGAGCTGGCTCGTCTGTTCAGCCAGTCGGACAGCGAGGAGGAGTTTGAAGGTTTCAGTGAGGATGAGGAAGAAGAAGACAGAGGATGTTTTAACAAACGACTAAAGAACAAGGTATGAAATGATTTCATTCGGTGTCACTTAGTAAAAATATTTGTGATATTGCAGCCAAAGGATCAGCTTGTGTGCTTTTTCTGTCTGGCAGGTGGTGGACTCAGAGGAGGACAGTGATGTGGACACAGGCTTCTACTCTGATGGCGAGGAGGCCCCACCACCAAAGAGGAAAAGTCTTTTAGTAGCTCTGAGGTGTGTGCGTGAGAATGAGTAAATGAGCAGTAATTGATTGAAAGGAAGAACATTAGCATGAATATGTGGTGTTTACCACCCTTCAGCCCACGATTGTTATGTCTGCCTTGAATCCTGATGAGGCAGGAATATAAACACACTATTATTACAGTTTTTTAAATTAATTGCTCACAGATTCAGCCTACCGTTGTTTGGCAGTGTGTTAGTTTTTTTCCCAACTGTACAAGGATCTTGAGGAAATGCCTGCCTGTTTTATGACGGCTGTGTTGATTCTTCATTGAATGAGCTGTATTTGTTTATTTGTTGTTTTTATTTATTTATTTATTTATTTTACTTTTTCTCCTCAGGTTTCCCATCAAAAGATTGTCATCCCCCAAACAGGATTCACAAGAAAGAAGTGCCAAAAAGCCAGTCAAAGAAAATCCTCCTTCACAGAGATCCAGGGGAAGGCAAATAATGAAGCAGAAACCAGTTGAGAAAGAGGAGGAGGAGGAGGAGGAAGAGGAAGATAAAGAGGAGGTCCTCTCTCCGAGCCTAAAGAAACGAGACAAGAATATCCAGGAAAACAAGGCCATGGTAATGAACCCTTTCAACCTCATATGTTTTCTTCATATTCTAACGGTGTGTGTGATCCGTATACCTCAGTCATCATTGACTCTGCTTTTCTCTGCTGCTGGTTTTCAGCTTGCTAAGCTGTTTGCTGATCTGAGCACCATGGCTGACCTGACTCTGCCCACCACCCCTCCAGTAAGTAAACGTGCCAACAACAAATGAATATGCATTGAGCTGAAAATCAACGGTTCATGAAATATCTCTGATGGCTAACAACATTACATTACAGCGCATTAGTGTGACAGTTCACTACAAAATGTTAAACTATAATCGCACTCGAACTGTGTAAGAAGAACCACAGCTAAAGCTAGATTGTAGCTCTAAGAACAAAAAACGTTTGATGTTTGAAATAAAAATGAAACTTGACGTTCAATGGGAGGATTACAGTGTAGACAAGAAAGCGATCGACACTGAGGAAAAACACGGACTGTGTCACAAGCTTCCGCCAGCTGTGTTTGGACATTTACCCTCACTGCCAGAAGGGGAGACAAAAGTTTTGCACTTTATGTTTCAATGTGTACATGTGTAGGTTTTGAGTAGCAAGATCCAAACTTTATAAAATAAATAAAGATTATACATTTTATGTTTTTTTTTTCTTAAATGCTAACATGCTCTTTGCTTTGCCTCTGCAGAAAAAGAAACGAATGTCAAATAAATCAACGCCACGGAAACGCAAGTTTGAACAGGACGTTGGATCAGAAAGGAGGAACCCATCCCGAAAGGCTCGTCCTCCTGAGAACTTTGCAGTTGAGGAAAAGAGTGAGCCGCTTAATCGCAGAAGCCCCAGGACTGTTGATCCCAAAAGGCTGGTGGAGGTATGAAATGCAACTCAAACACAAATCCACATATAGATAGAGTAAGACAGATAAGAGGAAAAAGACACTGCCA